CAAAATGTCTTTAATGTTAGTTATTGCTCCCTATATTCCCACTCTACCCTTTTATCCTCCACCCATTTAACCCTTTTGTGTTCATTAGTGTATATTAGCCCTTCACACCACTGAATTCTGTCTTCTTCTTCCCTTCTTTTGAAATCCACCTCTCATGGCTTCTTAGTAATTTCCTTACTTCTGCAGGGACTCCAGGTGGAATATACAGATCCAAAGACTCAAAACTACCATCCATAAATGAAAGAAAACCAGGCAATATTTGCTTTTCTGAGTCTGTGTTGCTCATTATGATTATTTCAGGCTCCATACATTTACCAGAAATTTTCATAATTTTGTTTTTCCTAACATCTCAATGATAATCCATTGTGTGAATGTACTATACCTCAGAGAGTTCTCAAAGCTGAAATACAAAAGGCTGAGAAACACTTTAAAATGTCAACATTTTTAGCTATCAGAGAAATACACATGAAAACCACTTTGATATTTAACTTATCCCAATCAGAAGGTCTAGATGAAAAGTGAACAAACAAGCAAATAAAAGTAAAATACAGTGATGATAATTGATGGTTGGCTGACATGGGTGTGGTAAAAGGGCAATACTTACCCACTGTTGGTGGGGGTGCAAACTGAAGCATCCCCTATGGAAATCAATGCAAAGGGTCCTCAAAAAGCTAGAAACAGATATACCACATGATCCAGCTGTACAACTCTTGGGCATAGGACTCCACACCCTACTAGAAGTAACTGATCTTTTGTACTCATTGTCGATCCATTCACAATAGCCAGGAAATGGGAACAGCCTGGGTGTCCAACAGCTAATGAATAGATAATAAAAATGAGGATATTGTATTGTATGCATGTATGAGCTTTTCAAAGAACAAATAAAAATGTTGTTTTTTAACTAGAATTTTAATGAATCTACTTAATAGTGATTGCCAAATATTTTTATAAGATTATATTCCCTAAGCTATTAACAGAAGCACTGATATACACAATGAACTCAAAGCATTTTGCTTTATAAAAATTTATAACAATGTTTTCAACTAATGAGAACAAAAAACTCTTGCATAAATATTTGGTGTCCCAGGATGATGCATTTTCTTCCTTGTAATTGTTTTGTCTTTATCTGAATGGAGCCCAAAACACAGGAGGCAAGTTAGTGATTTCCAGGTTCCCATAAGCTAATAACAAGCCATAATTAGACTTCAATTTTAAAAGCATTCAACTAAAATTTTCTGTTAAACCAATTTTCATGGCAGCTACAAAGAGCCCAAAACATGTAATTTGGATTAGATCCATTTAGATATTTCAGGACCAAACAACTCCAACTTTCTCTAAAGAAGGAATTCTGGCTAATGTAGATGTCCTGGTTACATTTTAGTTTTTAAAAATTCCTGATTTCTGGGTTTTATTTCAAACTTGTTAATTCAGAATTCGTTGACAGAGACACTGATATTTTAAAAGCTCCCAACACCATTAGCATATGCAGTCAGGGCAGAGAACTGTAGTCACCAGAAAGGTAATGCTAAAATTGACTTTTAAACCTGAGTAAATTTGCATGTATAAAGATACTATTATTTTGCATATGAAAACCAGTGTTTTGAGCAAAATATGAGGAGTCCTGGTTATCTCTACTGAAATCAATTCAATGAACGTAATAGAATAAGCCAATTTCTCTCAGTTGATTTTCTCCACTTTCTAGATGGCTAAGGCCTTTTTAGGAGCTGTAGCTGTCTACTTTCTCTAGATCCACACTAAGTTTTTTGGTTTAAAATCTTATGTCAAATAAAACATATATAATATCCTAGATACAATTTATCCTCCAAAGATCCAGGCTGTAGGAATTTTCTAGCATCTTTAGTCTCCTTGTTCTAGTGCAACAGTCTCTGAATTAGCAACCAATTAAGTTTCAGGTACAAAAAGTAAGCCCTTGATTCTTCCTTATCAGAAAACAATAAACCTCCAGTTCAAAACTTGTTCTACCACCAAGAAGTCTGGGTTCAAATTCAAGCTCTGGGAACACAGATCAGGTCAGCCATTCTGGAACAGGTGGTTATAATGCGGCTGGAGACTCTGGCAAAGAGCCAGAAAGATTGTTCTGGAAATTTTCAACCTGTCAGTGTCCACAACTCAGGTGGTCTGAGGATGCCTTTCCCACTGACAGGAGGAGGGAAGTCCCCTAGGGTTACCCCCTGAGAATGTATAAGTTAGAGTGTAAATTAGTCTTGGAGAATGCTGGATTCTGTGTGAGGTGCAGAAGGGAGAGACTGTGAAGGGAGCCTGGGTGTGGTGGGGGTCATGGACCCCACGATGAAGGTTTGGGCTCTACATTTACAGTGATGGTGAGCTATCAAAGAGCTAAGATGAAAGGTAACATAAGAGCTTCAGCTATGACTGGCAAAACTACTTAGCCTCTCTGAACTAGTTTCTACAACTTAAATAGGCAAAAACAATAACTATAGTAGGGCTATCATAAACTGCTATTATAAGCTCAGTGACTTAAGACAAAAGAAACATATTGTCTTAGATTTGTAAAAACTAGACATTTGAAATCAAGTGTGGGCGTGGTCATGTTCCCTCTGAAGGCTTTAGTGAAGACTTTGACACACTGTGTCTTCATCTTAATAGAACTGTTTTCACTCTGTGTATCTGTGTCTGCAAAACTCTTCATCGGGGTACAGTTATTGACTTTTGAGACACTGTAATCCCATATGACCTTTTACCTCTTTGGTTATATCTGCAATATAAAATCCATAAAATCACATTCACGGGTACCAGAGGTTAAGATTTCAACATGTGTGAGTGTACATCATTGAATCTTCAGCAAGAGCCAAACTTGAAAAATTAAGGCAAGAAAATTTTTATGCTATTGTCCCTTTTGTTAAGTGGCAATATCATTTACTTCTTCTCTTCCACCATATATAGCTGCAACCTGCCTTCATACTTAAAGTTTCATTGGCTGGGAACAAAACACCTTAGAATAACCATCTTTCTAGTCTCCCCATCTTCCAAGAACTTTGAAAAATAATGATGGCATTGAAGATGGCTTAGGCTGTGCTGCCAGTTGGTATTTAAGTTCTCAATTATTTGAGAATTTTCAAAGCAAAATAATGTTAAGAAGAAAAAGAAAATTGGTAGATTGCTATTAGTTTTAGCATGTGGTGGGCTAAACATCTGGTGAATTAATGATCTGGATAATGTATTAGCATTGCAGTTCTTCAGAGTGAAAACTTGATAGAATAGGAGTTGCAAGTGGTTCTTGTTATTTTTCAAGAACACTGCCCACCAGGGTGAATATCCATTCCCCAATGATGGAATCAAAGAAGAGTCATGGTGACATACATCACTATGTACTTTTGCTAGTGATTCCCCTGATGGCAGAAAGGCCATAAAACAGTGGGCCCTGTTGCCAAAGAACATGCTGTCAGATTCAAATGTATTTCTTTCTTTTCCGAGCCATATCTGCCTCCTATGCAGCAAGGAGGACTGACCTATTAGGCACTTCATTTCATTTTTAGCTCATAGGAGAAGCAAATTGGGGGAGTGTTCTTGTTCATTTTCTGTTACTATGATAAACACCATGACTAAACACAACTTGTGGAGGAAAAGGTTTGTTTCAACTTACAAGTTACAGTCCATCATCAAAGGTGGCCAAGGCAGGGCCTCAAGGCAGGACCTCAAGACAGGAGCTCAAGGCGGGAGCTGGCTTGCTCCCTGAAGCTTGTGCTCAGCCAACATTTTTCTACACCTCAGTAGCACAAAAACTAGCTCTTCCTTCATTGGTCTGGGTCCTCCTACATCAATTAGTGATCAAGAAAATATGCCATGGACATGCCCACAGGTGAATTAAAAGGGTACAGTCCCCCAACTGGGACTACCTCAGATAACTCTGATCTGTGTCAAGTTGACATGTGAAGGTAACCAAGAAATAAGTAACTCCTCAAGAATCTATTTAATGTTCTATGACATAATATACTAGAAAAATATTCATGTCTGTCTCTAATGCTTGTCACCTGGATATATAAGCTGGTGTTGCTGGAGAAACATGACTACCCACTCAAGTAGAATGACACGGACTTGAGAGATTTGTATTTAACTTTTGGTTTGCTTTACTTTATTATTCACATTATAAGCATTCCTCTGTTGGTAGAAATTAAAGAAAACATGTTAAAATCAACATGTCTAAGAACATGTTTCCCTGGCTCACTCCAAATCAGTGGAAGTAAGAAGGTCACTGGGAATATGATTTACAAAGGTCATCTTATTAGAGAGTGCACAAGGTTGAAATAAACATATCACTTGTGTGAGGGTTGGCATTTTATGTCTAGCCAGCACAAACATCTATCTCAAACATTCTTCTTTCCATTCTGACATGTATAATTGAGTTTTGATTTTCAAGAAATCTCTTAGTGCTTTTTGTTCCCCAAATAAGTCAGGTAATAAATAGTGTGTGACCCTACAAGACAATTAGAGGTGGTTAATCTAAAGATTTGATGTCAGTGGGTAACTGGCATCCCTCCTTCTGTCCCTCACTCCCTCCCTCCCTCTCACTCTCTCTCTCTCTCCCTCCCTCCCTTTCTTCCTTCCTTCCAGTAGATTTGAGGTGGGTTTAAAATTAGAAGAAAAATAATCTGCCTGGGCACAATTCTTATACCCAACATGAAAGAAAATTAAGGACTATGATATACTTTCCCCCACATTATCATGAAAGAAAGCCTGAAACAGAGAAGTGTATTGGAAATTCACATGTTTCATAAATTTTCAACTCAATGACATGATTTTGGGGGTTTGGAACTATAGAAAACTCCAAGTTTCATCATACCCCTTTCCATTCTGGGGACTTTAGAACAAGAAAGATCTGACCATGTTAACATAATAAATGGGAAATGAAGGAAAGAAGATTCAGAAGGATCACTCACTGTGCAGACCATGGAATGAACTGGATGCAGAGCACAGGAACAACCTTGGGTTTAGTGAAGAGGAGAAACAGCTAAATCTCCCTCCAAAGGTGGAAGGACAGGAGGACATGACATAGGTCTGATATTGCAAAGGTGGGGCAGGGTTCAGAAGACTTGATGGTGGTGCCCAAGGTGAAAGATTTCATCATTCCTTGGTCTGGTATCATCTCATAAACAGGTTAGAATCTTCCAGAAGTTGCTGGTTTACCTGCTACCCCAAGTTAAGAACCATAAAGGATAACTCTAGTGAGAAATGTAAGGGGATGGAGCAGCTACATCACCCCTGGGGAATGTCAGTAGAGAAAGAGGACTATATAGATGCCTATCTATCTATACAGACTTGCTGCTCCACCAACTCCAGTTCCAAAATAGTTCATGCAATTGGCTGTTATGAAACTGTGCTCAGTTCTAACTCTGACCAAGGGGAACCTGAAGCTTCAGTATCTATGTGCTTCTCTGCTTTCTAGGCAAATGCAGTCACCCCTTTTCTCCATGGGTGCTATAGTCAAGAACTTAAAGACTATTAGGTCAGAAACATTTGAGGAAAATGTCTGTAATAAACATGTAGAGACTTTTTTCTTGATATTATTCCTTGGAAAATATGGTATATAGTATAGTACACATATGTTATAACATATATAATATAGCAGAGCAACTAATTATATGGTATTTGCATTGTATTGGGTATTTTAAATGGTCTATTATTGGAAATAAAATTTTTCGCCATACAATATATACTGATTATAGTTTCCCCTCCCTCAATTGATGCCAGTTCCTCCTCTTCTCCACTCCTCTCATTTCCAGAATGCCCTCACTGCGGGTTTTCCTTACTGATTCTACTTCCAGTTTCAGGTCTTGAACATCTTTATTTATTCCTTACTATTTATTTACTCCCATCTGGTTGTGTTTCCCTGTATTTCTTTAGGGGATCTATTCATTTCCTCTTTAAGGACCTCTATAGTATTCATAAAGACTATTTTAAGGTCACTGTCTTGTGCTTCAGCCATGTTGGAATATGCAGGGCCTGCTGTGGTAGGATAGCTGGGCTCTTAGAGACATTGCCATGACTGATTTTGATTGTGTTTTTACATTGGCATCTCAGACTCTAGGTTTGGGATGATTATAGGTCTAAGTGTCAATTTGGGGAATTGTCTTTGTTAGGTGAGTGTTCTGCTCCTTGGTTTCTGGTTCCTCTTTGGATCTTTAGAGACTATGATGGCTGTGTGTTACCTCATTTCCTGGTCTGTTCAGCTGGTGTGTTCACAGGGATTGCCTGCTGATATTGGAGGCTGAGTAACTGAGATGAATTTAGGGAAGAAAGATTGGAGGAGAAGGTCTTTGCGATCCCTTAGGGATGGGGTCAGAGAGAAAAGGGAGACTACAACAGGTTTCCTGCTACAGAACTGGGAATGAGATGGGGGGTGGGGGTATGGATCTCAGGAGCAGTAGGAGAGGTGTGGATCTGCCTTCAGACTACTTGCTGCCCTGGGAGGAGCTGCCATTGGGTTAGCAGAGGGTGACTGCTGGAGTTGGGGTCTGGGATAAAGCAACAAGTGGGGAGAGAGAGATTAGGAAGAGATGGTTTGTAGGATTCACAGGAGGGGTGGGTGGGGTTGAGGAAAAGCTGTAGTTGGTGTTCCCTTGCAGCACTAGGGACTAGACTGGAGGATTGGGTCTGGGGGAACAGAGAGAGAGGTCTGCAGGCATCTTACCTGGTTTTCTGGCAGGCGTGGCCTCTGTATTGAGTGTTATGATTAGCCTAAAGCTGATTTAAAGAATAAAGATGCACATCACTTACATGCAAACATAATGCCCTTTGTATAAGGGATTTGAGCATCTGAATGGTTGATTTCTTGAGGCCACCCATCCACATAGTGGTAGAGGGATGGTTCTATTTCTTTTGTCAATCATAAGATGCTTTGGTTATTCCTGGGTCTGCCACCAGGAAAAGGAAACAAGCACCCATGCTTATGATTAATAAAGTGGGAAAGGTGGAGTCACAAGTATAGGCAGGTATGACATCTCCTAGCTATGTCATTCATCCCAACCTTTTCTTCCCCACAGAGGGTCGGCTGTGACTATGAGATTGATTCCAATGCTACTGAAGATCGCTGTGGTGTGTGCCTTGGAGACGGCTCTGCCTGCCAGACAGTGAAGAAACTGTTTAGACAGAAGGAAGGATCCGGTAATAAACAAACCCAACTAACTGAAGTCTCCAGGGACTTTGGATCACTAAACAACAACAAATAATAATATCCTTGTTTTTATTTTAAAAATAGCTTGTAAAAATTCAAAATAAAATATACTTCTCATCACTAAGGAATCAGCTCCCTTTGGCAGTTATAGGAGCAGCATTGGTTGCTAAGAAAATACAGGAAGTGTCACACTGACCTGAAAGTGCTGGTGGCTACTCCAGCGAACAGGTATCAGTGTAGTCTCTAGCAGGGCATCCTGCTTAAGAATACGCATCATAAGAGTGGCAGGATAAAGACAATGGCATTGAAAGAAACCAAAAACCAAGGGAGAGATGAGGTCAAAAGCTGGCTGTGAAGAACACACACCAAGATGGGTTCTGTATGTGAAGATGGAGAAGCCAGGACAGAACAGGTGGGAAGGCAGCAGTACTGAGGTGTAGCTTCAGGGTCAAAGGAGACGTAAGATAGACATGCTTCACATCTCCAGTTGGTGAATCCCACACACAATGGTCCCTTATGAGTCTCAGGGAAGCTCTTCTACCTAACATAACCTCACCCCTATACCCAGGCTATTCCTTTCCTGCATTTAGACTTTACAAGATTTCTTCTTTGTGCAGCCTTTTGAGCTACTGGTGAGCCTAAGAGGGTGTAGTTGAGATTCTACCCTCACCCCCATCTCATATGAGCTACGAGACATGCACATTTACCTTGGCACCAGCCACAATCTCTAGTTGGCGAAGTCTTACGTCAATCATGAAAAAGATGAAAATAACTCAGAGTATTTTAATAAACTCTGAAACAATAATTTGGATGTAAATAATTATTTAGGGAATAGGAGGCCTTGGGAAACATTAGTGGGACATTGAAGAAGAGGAAGCAGTCAAGAAAGGATGGTCACCAAGCTTGTGCTCAGTCACAGGACTTGGAAGACTGAAGGAGTGGGGTGATGTTCAGTGGTTTCCACTGGTCAGGGTGTGCTGGAAATTCATTCTGTGGTTCTTCAGAAGTGTAGGTGCTGGGCATGGGCAGTCTAACGTACAGTACTGGAGTACATCCTCAAAAAGAAGCCTTGCCAGCTGCCTAGAGGTAACATCACAATAGGAAATGGTGGTCCCTTTCAGATACAAAACGACACTGATTTTCAGAGTCCCAATAAATCAGTGTCTTACTCCTAGATGTATTTAGTACGTGGAATGAAGTGCTTAAGTTGTGATCCCAAAAGTATTGGGTGTTTTCTTCAACTGATTGCATGACCCATTGTCCCCTTGGAAACATACTAGCAGATAGCCTAAATTTATCTAAATTCTGTTCTTATCTTTTCATTTTTGACTGTTGACTGATTAAGGTCAAATTGTGAAATGATTCTTGCCCTGCCCTTTAGTAATAAAACTGGCAGATTGCATTTCCTGTCTTCACTGATAGCTTTAGAAACACATCTTTCTAATTACTTGCTGAGGGTGAAAAATGATTATCCAGTATGTGTCAAAGTTAGGATTAAGCAGCTTGTGGTGAAATATTTTTTCAAGTATTTTGTAGATATTTTCTATTATTTCAACATGGTCACATTAACCTAATTATAAGAAGTCACACTAGCAACCTGTTTCTCCATAAAGATCTTTCACTTTGTTCTCCGCTATGCTGATCTTACATGATGTCCTGAGTTGTTGTTCCCACATTTTATCTATCTGACCTTCTAATAGCTTAGGAAATTGGACTTCACTTCTGCTGTTGGTTTATTTTCTTGTTTGTTTTCCTTCTTCCTTAGTCTCTTGGGAATAAGAAAAGGGGGCCATAAATAGCTTGGCCTGTACCTCTAGCCACATGCTATCACTGAGCCTTTGACATCTCTCTGAGACAGTGACTTCAGTTCTTTTTCTTCCATTTGCCTCTTGAAGCACTTGAGTGGTCTTTGGCACCCATGAATTGGTGTCAGCTTTACACTGCCCAAGGTTTCTTATAGACCTCTGACCCTACCCTCTTAGTGCATAGGGGAAGTGCAGAGTTCCCTGTGGGTTGTAGCATGTAGTAAGGTCTGTGTCCACAGACCACAGGGTACTTACCAGATTCCATCTTTCCTTCGTGATTAATGAAGTTTGATGGGGGGGGGGGCACTGTCTACCATTATTCCACCATGCAAATGAAGCAAGGGCATGCAGCAAAAGAGTGATGAAATGTATTTACATTGAATTGGTGTAGAGGATTCATGTGAAATTCAAAGCTAAAGAGGGCACTGTATTCATTATATAGTTCTCTGTATTTATTCTCAAGCTACTCTATGCTGCTGCCACGTCTTACCTTATGTTTGTTCTTTTACCTTAAAGTAATTAGTAACAAAGGACAGAATTGTCTTGGGTCTTTGTCTCTACCTTGTTCAACTCCAGATGACCACAATCTCTGTCAGCAGTATGCATTTGATAAGTGTTCATATAAATTTAGGTAAAATGAGTTTCTCTTAGGATTGATTACAAAAGCTTTTTCTAATAAAGGACAGAACCCCATGGGCTATGCTAAATTAGGATGAGGGATATCCAAGTTAGTTTTTTCCCCTGATTGCTTTGTTTTGATGTCTTAACTCTTTTAAAACAAAACTGCTTGGTTGGGTATTGGTCACTTCTGAGTTTTACTTTTACTCACAGCTCTTACTACAAGAGTTATTTTAAAGGTGCTTAAGTTTTTAAAAAGTCTCCAATTAAAATGTCCATGATAGTTAGACCCCACCCTTCTTCCTCCCCCTCTGCTTCCTCCCTGGAGGAGCAGTTGCTGCTACTACATTCAGCGATGGAGGCAGGAAATATTGGAAACATTGGCCAAATTCTTTTGTATAGTGTTTGAGTGCTCTTAAAAAAGAAAAAGGATGATGCAGAATTAAAATACCCCAGGAGGCAAGAAATGAGATTGGGGTCTGGATCACTATTAGCCTTGGGGAAGCCAACCCCAAACCTGAACTTCTGAAGTCCTTACTGACCGTGGGTGGCACTTTTTCTCTTTGTAGTCTGATATCTTTAGAGCTGATTATGTCTGTGGATATCTTTGTGTTGAAATCACAGTCTCCAAGAAAAGGTGCCCTTGTCTGTTGCCTCCTTGGGATGCCCCAACAACTAAATTCCTGTCTTTCTCTATAAGGAATCTTATTCAGTAGACTTGATGCCATGTTACAGATGGTACCATCTTGGCTTCTACTTAGTGCCAGACTTGGGGTATATAAAACCCCCTTCTTATAAATCCTCATAGCAGCTTTATTCCCCATTGTTCATGAGAAAGAAAATCATTAACGTTGAAAGGTAGCTCCATGATTACTATGATTAGATGTGTCTGGAATTGGAAAAACTTAGGTTTTTCATAATACACATAATAAAGAAGTTGCCTGACTTGTTTATTAATTTACTCATTACCTGAGAAACAGTTGAGCATCTGTTGAACACAACAATGACTCCCTCTACTGCTGTCTGTTTGAATCAGTGAAAGAACAGGGCGAAGATAACATTTGGCATTTGACCTGTAGGAGGAAGTTACACAATATTTCTGCTTCAGAAAGAAGTTGATAGTTATTAAGCTGTTTTCCCCCCAAAGGTTCCCAAGGCTTATGGCTTATTATTCAGATCCAAATAGCAATCATTAATTTTTACAGCCTAATGTATTTTTTGGTTTCTCTCTCTCTCTCTCTCTCTCTCTCTCTCTCTCTCTCTCTCTCTCTCTCTCTCTCTCTCTCTCTCTCTCTCTGTGTGTGTGTGTGTGTGTGTGTGTGTGTGTGTGTGTGTGTGTGTGTGTGTTTGTGTGTGTGTGTGCCATGTCCACAGAGAACAGAAAAGGGCTTCGGGGAACCAAACCTCAGCTCTTCGTGAAGGGCAGTATGAGCTCTTAACTGCTCAACTATCTCCAACATTGTGGTCCATTTTCATTGGCCTAGACCCTCAGTAGTCCAATGTCCTCAATCTAGGCTTGTTTCTACTGCTTAAGCTCCTGAATGTTAACTTCCTTATTTACTTTGTTTTCATAAACTCAGCTGCTCTTTTCTGACACTGTTTAGCCTCTTGGAATTCTAAGAATCACCACTCTGGACTGTTCCTCTCTCCTTCTTAAGCTTCTCTACACTTCTATTTAAGCTGTGACCAATATGTATAAATTCTGGTCTTGCTCATACCAGCCTGTTTAATCTTGTTGCTGGGGCCTTCATCTCTGAATACCCTATGACTTTCATATGGCTAACTAGGTCACTTAACTCAGCACCTACAAGATTGGCCTTGACTCCTGCCTCTTTATTTAACTGTAACCAGTATGTTCTTAGATTTGCATCTTAAATTTTTTCACTAGAGCAGTTACCATAAAATGAATTCTTAATTACACCTCCACACACACTATATTTTACATCTTACTCTAAGTAGAGGATGTTTACTATGGAGAAGATGCAAGAAGATTTATTCTTATCAATCACTTTTCTATTTCTGAGCATTCAGAAGAAGTACCAATAATCACTAAAGTTTCTATTTTACACTCAGTGTTCCTCTGCTTTCAGTTTGTTGTTGATAATTATTTGCCATTTTGGAAAATTCATTCTTATGTGGAAAAATAAAAATCAAACTTAAAATGATTTACATATTTTTTCCTTTTTATTTAAAACAAGGAACAAGGTGGTAGGCATAATATTTAGCACTAGTTTGTTTCCCTGCTGAGTTCTGAAGTGTGAAGGCATGTAATATTCTAAATCAGAAAATGGTTACAGAGAGCAATACCATAAAGGCATTTTTCAAAGTTTCATTAGTTCTAATTACATGTGATAAATGTTTTTTCCTGAGTTGGTGATTTTAATGAGCTGTAGCAGACAAGTTTATGAAAGCCAAATGGAGCTGATCTGACTCTTCCAATACTCATGTAGCATTTGACTACCAGGATAGAGCAACCTAGGCAGGTTCAGGTGCCAGAGATGGGAGTTGTAGCTCAGGTGCTGGAGATAAGCATTTTATTAGTCACACCTTTGCACTATTATTAAAGGTACCTGAGAGAAAACTACTTAAGGTAGGACAAATTTATTTTGGCTCAGGGTTTTAGGGATTTCAGTTCATTTTTAAAGACTTCACTGTTTAGGGGCCCAAACTGGCAGAATGTCATGGCAACAGGTACATATGACAGAAACTGTTTATCATATGACAATCAGATGTCCAGAGAACACCCTCTACTGGCTTTATCTAGCCCCTACCTCCTATTTTTACTGAAGCCTAATAAGGCCACCAGATTAAGTTAGAGCTGTTAGGATCCATCACTTCTTTGAGCCTATCAGCTGGAATCCAAGCCCAAGGTACATGAGTCTGTACAAACACACACACGCACTCGCACACGCACACGCACACGCACACGCGCGCACACACACACACACACACACACACACACACACACACACACACACACACAGAGTTAACAGGAGGATCAGTGCCTTAAAACCACTTAGAAAAAAAAAAAAACCAAACTCTTTGACTGGTAGATCTGAGACTATCATCACCCATCATCCTTCAGTTCCCATTACTTGTGCAGCTGAGATTCAAAGGAGTTAAATGAACTGATGAAATTCACAGAGATAATGTACAAACTGGAACACAAGACCATCTTAAAGCCCAGGCTCCTGCCATTCTATAAAGTTATGGTTCTGAGGAAGCATAAACATGGGAGTGTAGTGAGCTGGTGAATAGAGACAAGCACTGAGTGTCCTTTTCTTCTCTCACAGGTGTGCCTCCTACCATGGCAACCATTTAACAGAAGACTGCAGCTAGAGTTGATCAATACTTTAAAAGAGATATGTGTTTTCTTTTCCTGAAGCCCAGATGGGAACATTGGAAAATAAGTTATAAATTTGTAATTTTACAAAACATAGGAGGAAATGAGGAGGGAAGGCTTCCTAATGACTAGAATTGTGTGATGGTGTAGAAAGCAGGCCTCAGAACTTAGGTTTTCATCATGAGCTGATTGAAGCAATCCAGGTAGCAATCGATTCAAGGTTCCCTCCAGAAGTTCTTAACGAATGGAAGCATGGGTTAAATTATATCTAAGAATCTATTTTTGACCTGATGGTGATGATGGGGAAGAAAAGTATATAGTCTGTGCATTGCTTGGGAGAGCTAACCTAATGGCAAGAATTAAAAGGGGAGGGACGAATGCCATTAGGGCTTGTAGCCCAGACATTTTGAACCATTCACAGAATAACAGAAAAATAAATGTTGGGTGAATGATAAATCCTCAGAGTCCCACCAATATTATATATTGTCACTGTGCTGTTTACATGCTAAGTCATGAAGCTCCTGAGAATTCTGCTCGTGGCTAGTCTCATTCTAGTTCTTCCTAGTTGGTACTTCTGCCCATCCCAGTGGCCACCCAGCATGGGCACTGAAGGATGGAGATGCTGAGAAGAGGATACAGGCTCTACTAGCTGAGAAGCCAGCATGCCCCCTTCACTGTTGTCTCTTTTGTCCTTAGGTTACGTTGACATTGGACTTATTCCCAAAGGAGCAAGGGATATAAGGGTAATGGAAATCAAGGCAGCTGGAAATTTCCTGGCCATTAGGAGTGAAGATCCAGAAAAGTATTACCTCAATGGAGGGTTTATTATCCAGTGGAATGGAAACTATAAACTGGCAGGGACCGTCTTCCAGTATGACAGGAAAGGAGATCTGGAGAAGCTGATGGCTCCAGGCCCCACGAATGAGTCACTGTGGATCCAGGTAATTCTGAAGAGCAGGGAGCTGCTGACCAGTGTGACTGCTAGCATCCTTCTCATTTCCTTCCCCAGCTATTTAATATAGGACATTAACTGTGAATCATTAATTTCCTTAACAAAGACCAGGGAGGGAGAAAGATGTCTGTGCTGTTTCTTCTTTGTTCTTTAGAACCGCTAAAGCCCCAGGAACAAAATTCAGAACCTCAAAACCATGCACTGAGAGGTTTGAATTTAGTTCTCATCTCTTCCTAGTGTGTCTAAAGTGTCCCAGTGTGTGGCTTCCCAGCAGTGGTGATGAACTGAGGTGCCATCCTATGGTTGTCAGGGACTGTTTGCCTTAGTGAAACTCTTGGAACAAGGAGGGCTCCTGTTATAGTCCATGCATCAAAGGTTTTGTCTTTGTCAGGCACAGAACTGTAAAAGATAGGATGACTGTACTGGGTGGGTTAAGGTAAGCGGGGAATGTGAGATGGCCCAACCGAGTCAGATTTAGCCACATTGTAAAACCAGAGCAAGGTCAGTTCAAATCAGAAGGCAGAAGACTCTTAGAAAAGGGATGTGGGGCAAGGTTTCCATGAACATTTTTTTTTTGTCCAAGAACTACTATACATTAAAGTCAGCCTACCCTCACCCAATAGTTAGAGAAGGAACTTCACTAAGACAACAACTATAATAAAAGTTAATATCTGAGTGCCAACTTCGTGTCATGTAATAATCTCTTTGTGTAGATATGTTTGCTATGGCCCTTATGAGAACCCCATCAGCAGATACTTCTTAGGTTTGTTTTGAACATAAAGCAACTTAGGCACTTGTTCATATTTACAAAGACAGTAAGTACACAGGGCATAAGGTGACCTATTGGCTGAATCCCACAGTGAAATGTCCATATGATTAAAATCCCCTATTTACGGGGATGGAAATTTATATATTTCATCAAGTAAACTACAGAGGGAGACTATATAAATACTGACATAAAAGTAGATGTGATAAGACAAATACAGATAGACATAGGTGGAAAACCCTTTAGTGGCACCCACTGTCATACTTGCTTCTGTAACCACTTCTAAATGAGAGACATTCTATAAAGTTTTGTGTACATGTTCATGTAGGTACATGTACGTGCAGGTGCGCAAATATCCCAGAAGTCAATGCCAGTTGGGCTATATTTCTCAATGGCTTGCCTTATTTTATTTGACTTTCTTTTGAGACAAGTCTCCAACTAAATCTGGAGCTTGCTGATTCAATTAGACCAGCTGGCCAGCAAACCCCAAGGAGCCTCCTATCTTTGCTTCTCTAGTGCTGGGGTTATAGCTTCATGCCCCATGCCTGGCTTTTTCCATGGGTGCACAGCAAGCACTTTATCTACTTAGCCCATCTCCCTAGCTTCTCCGCGGCATTTTTAAATGACTGGTTTGCAACCTACACTCATGATTGTTTGACATGACTCCTCTCTTGCATTTTAGCTCCTATTCCAGGTGACTAACCCTGGTGTAAAGTATGAGTACACAGTCCGGAAAGATGGCCTTGACAATGATGTGGACAAGTTGCTCTACTTCTGGCAGTTTGGCCGCTGGACAGAATGCAGTGTATCGTGCGGCACAGGTGAGAAACAGCTGCTTTCACTTGAAAACCCCAACAGCCTCAGAGTAGGCCGAAGAGGTGATCTAAACTTGTGGTTTTCCTTCAGTGCCTGCCCATCTTCGGAGTCTAACAGAGGTATCCCAGAGATCCCTCTGAGCAGCAAAAGTGAGAGGTGTGGCTTAAAGGAATGGGTGTTCTGCTTACATCTCATTGGTCTGCTTCCATCACATGGGTACCAGCAAAGGGAGTCTAAAAAATATGAGGATACAGGAGGCCTGTTGGTACGCGGGTTCTCACTCATTTCAAAGCTTTAAAAACAATGTCGTATGTGGAAGCTTCGTTTCTGTGCCTGTCTGTGTACCACACTTGAGTCTGTTCTGGAAGTTCTTGCCTCCTTCCTGAATCTACTGCGTGTAAAACCAGAGCACCTGCATAGCCGATGTAAAACCAGAGCACCTGCATAGCCGACATTCAAGACGTGTAGTGTAGCAAAATAAATCAAAATGAAGGATAGAATGTGCCAGGAAGCCGTTCTTATCCTCCGCAGGCTTCTTTCTTGCTCTATTTGGCCTCTTTCCTTGCTTTCCTACCCTTTAAAAACAATTATAGAATATGGTCCAGAACCAGAAAATTGGATCCTGCATAACCTAGCTCATAAATAATTTTTCTTTTCCCAAACTTAGCATGGAAAACTAGGTATAGCTTTTACAGCTCATAAGAATAAAATGTCTACTTCAATTTGTTTTAGTTGTGTGTATTTGGAAATGGTGTATATGCATGTTTGTTCAAGTGCCTTCAGATGCCAGAGGTGTTGAATCTCTGGAAATGGAGCCTTAAGGCAGTCGTGAGCCAACTGATGTGGGTGCAGAAAACTGAACTTGGGTTTTCTGCAAGAGCAGGACACACAAAGCTGAACCATCTCTCTAGCCCCTAAAATGTTCATTTCACTAAGTTTTATTCACTCTATGATAACTCTATGCATGTATATAATGTATTTTGATCATATATATATATATATATATATATATATATATATTTATAAATACTGTTAAGCTAGAAATCAATCTAGGTCAATGGCAGAAGCTGGCAATTGTTACACAAGTGTTTGTAGATAATTTATCCTTGATTCCCATGGCTGCCTCTAGCATTGCCCTGGCCTGTGGCCCAGGATGGGCCAGGCTCCCAGAGAAGCAAAGGCAATTTTATCAGGAAATAAATGGGGGTATAAAATATTTTCTCCGAGGATCATTCGTGAGAAAAATGAAGTCACTGTGAATGTAGTTCCAAGTATGTTTTCAATCTGTGATTCCCTCTTAGTCTCAGCTCCCGGGGAAGCTCATATTTAAACCTTACACTTAAATTCTTTGTCCCAGACCACACATAATGAAACCTACCTACTGCCAGTTACCAGAGCCTCCACCGAGAATCAGAGCCTCCTCCACCCTCTTCTGTTTCAAGCTCAGGCTCAGTATTTCAGAGCATTGGGGACAAAGAGCTAAGTGACTGGGTTTGAACATAAAGCTACATGTGAAGTTAAGTAGGGAATAGAACATTCCTAACTAATGTCCACTAGTCATTTGGTTTTGTTACAGCGTGATCCTTCAGCACAACCCCTGCCTGGTTGGGTAAACATCATTCTGATTATAAAGCCTTAATAGGATTTTCATAGTGGCCATTCGAACTTTAACACATTGCCTAATGAAGTTTCAGGGAGATCTCTGGCTCTGGCAGAGGAAATCATGACTATCTACTTTGCTACCCAAGGAACATAGAGGATGAGACACTGATGTTCACACAGTGTACACCGTGTGAAATACAAAGACCCAAGACAGAACACTGAATCTGTGGCCATTCATTATTATCTTTAAGTTCACACTTTCCACATTATAAAAATATGCAGTAAAATAGGAAAAGAATGGAATGCATAAGTGACCAAAAAGCAGCAGCAGAACCACAAAAACAGGGGTGGGGTGGGTACCATAGAAACGGTGTAATCTAACAGCATCCCTTAGGTCTCTTGGGTTGGTGTCTCCCAAGTAGAAACAGTGGCTAGTTAAAATTGGAGAAAGTCTTGTTTCATCCTGTTCAAACAAAACCTTCAAGACACTTTTTAATGCAAGACTTCATAAAGATAATAAAACTGTTTATCAAGGCAGGTTTAACATACGCTAGCAAGTGAAGATGAGATTACGTTACCTCATACATGTGTAGTGGCATCTTACCTTGCCAGTGAACTTGTCCTGGCTACGTGGGGTGCCACTGCATGCATGAAAGGAAAAAGCAGAGGTCTAATAGCTATTCAGCTGTACATCGTGAATCATGGTGGCTAATCCAATGGTCTATTGTTCTGCTGGTCTCATAAGACCCACTGCTGTTTTTTTGTTTTTGTTTTTGTTTTTGTTTTTGTTTTTGTTTTTGTCTACCCTGTGCAGACTTCAGAGATTATTTATAAGCCTTCAAGTTTGTTCTCTAATATTACAGTTGCACCCCATTTCTAGGTTGGTGCCATGCTTAGTCGGTGTGCTCCATGGAATGCTGAATGTCTGCCTCACCTGTTAACTGCTATGTGTTGTTGGATTTTGTAGGCTTTTCTGGCCTTCCTTAATTGTGTGCTTCACCTGACTTACATGTAGTGTCTACAGGAAGGAAATCACAATTGAGTTACAAAACTAACTTTGCTTAATTTTCTGAATGGTTCCTTCACAGAACAGAAACATTTTCCCTTTAACAATTAAATATTCTTCAAGCATAGTCAGTTCTTTTACTCGAACAAATTTTCCAATCTTTTTTTTAATCATAGTTTCATCTAACATAACAATCAGTTTATGAAATTATGTAATCAGGTCCCTGGCATTCCAATGGGGGAAATGGCACTGGCTTTGAGACTCACTGATGGAATATGTAAGGGTGTTAGCAACAGCTAATGATAAAAATCAAGCATATAAACTCATGTCTAATCAATAGTTGAAGTCAGTAACAAGTCACTGAAGTTTTTTTGAGTTGGAAAGGATCATGTAAAGTAAGGAAATTGAATTATAGTGGACTTGATTAATTAAATCTCTTCTATATTCCAATCTCAGAGTGTGTGTTCAACCTTGTTCTCAAAATCTGTAGTAAGCAGAGTTTCTTCAGAGGGAACTGATACCCCATGAATATATGTTATATATAACATACATTGTATATATAGAGAGCATACTCTTAGAGAGAGAGAGAGAGAGAGAGAGAGAGAGAGTGCTGTGGGGAAATTACATGCACACACACACACACACACACACAGACACACACACTAGTAGTGCTGGGATACAAGCTTTCCTTGACTGAGTTTTGTGTTGTGGTAGGTAGATATGAATTCATTGTTCAAAGAAAAGAGAGCCAAAGGAGCGAAGGGAGCCAAGAAAACAAATGAGATCAACATCCCATGGGAACTGAAGTTGAAAGCTGGTAGAATAAGTTGTACTTATCTACAATGGAAATGGTTATCCAATCCTCACTCTTTCCTTCTTTCTGTGAAGTTAGTGTTATTCCCATGTGCTGGTATTTATGAAGGGCTTTTTAGTGATGAATCTATTGATTCACAGAATTGCCATCATTTCACATTATTAACATCATTTTACATGCAGTATTAGAATGATCATTTATGTGACAATGTCAACTTTACCTTGTACTGATATTATTGTCACTTGAGTAAGTGTAAAGAAAGAGATCTTATTCAGTACTTCAAAGATGGAATCTATACTACTTCCAGTCTGTTCAGATAATGTGCTTAGTCACTGCCTGGAACTTCTTCAGTCTTTTAAGTTTTGACATTTTGGAAATGCTGCACTCTTGTTTGCAAAGCTAAGTCTTCATTTGTTTTTATCTGACTCATCCTAAACTGAATTTTAAATTAAAACCACCTTAAATAAATTAACTCCACAACAGATGCTATTTTTAAAATCCCAATGTTGAGACTATAACAAACTGTGTCACTGTTCTTGTACTTTCTTTTTCATGACCAACTTAACTTTTTCTTCTTCCAAGGCACATTTCCTTCCAAGAGAACTTGTTGTAAATCATGCGTTACAGGTTTCAAATCAAGGCACTTAATTGGCCTCAGAGCACCAATATCCAGTACATTTTATCAAGTATTTTTAAATGGATTTGCAATCTTCTGGAAACAGCAGTGTGTTCGTGTGTGTGTGTGTGTGTGTGTGTGTGTGTGTGTGTGTGTGTGTGTGTGTGTGGGTGTTATATGGTGGTCAGAGGACAACTGACAGAGTCAGTTCTTTTACTACTTGATGTGGGCTCTGGGAATCTGGGAATTCAAGCTGCCAGGCTTGCCTGCAAGTGCCCCATCCTGGAGAACCATCTCACAGGTCTGATTTCTACCTTAGAGGTGGAAGTTTCAGTAAATGTCTTCAGATTAGAAATAATACAGTGCAGTGACATCACACAGTTTTATTGGCATCCTTAATTAATAAACTTTCTTTGGGGACAGTATTTAGTTTAAAGAAAAAAAGAGAGAGAACAAATGACAAGCTATGTTTTTTTTTTCCACAGAAAAATCATGTTCATTTAGATACAGTCTAAGCTCATCATTTCTGAATTTGCAGTGTTACATAATAGTAATTACTCTTAAAAGCATGACCCGATTCTAACCTCTCCACTAGAGCTATTACAATGGCCCATGTTAAAGACAGCTGTCACTATTCCAAAATTGGATCCCAGACTAATGAGTATGCCACTAGTCTAATAGTCTAAGTGTTTAGTTTTTACTCTAAACTAGTAAGTTCATTATTGTAAAGGAGATAATATCACTCAGAAACCCAGCAGGACACAGCTGGAACACAGGAGAAATCAAGGAAGGTCATTAATGCCCATGAATCCTGGAAGGTGAGGGAAACAAAGCTACTATCCCTAGGCCAGAAAAACTAGGAGAATGAACAGTTAAACAAAAAGATAGCACGCAGTTTCCAGACCTTGATGGACACCACAGTCATCTGTAAGATCACTTCCAAGAGTTCAGAGCAGGGCACTGGGAGGAGCAGGGTAGGTCTGGAAGGAAGAAAGAAGGGAGAGAGGAGATGAAAGAAATCAGCAGAGCCAGTGTAAACTCGAGAAGCTAAGATGGATTGGTCTTGACTGGAGAAGGGAAGAGAGCTGGCACTCATTCAGTCGATGTAGATATTCTTCAATATGAGAAACCACTCTCCATTTGTTGTAATAACTGCCACCACTTCATCATGCTCACAGGTTGTGTGAGTCAGACATTTGTACAAGGCATACAAAGGATGGAAAAATCTCTAATCTATTTGGCCCCTGAGCTAGGGAGACTCAAATGATTACAGTGATTCAATAGAGACTACTTCAAAGTCTGGAAGCTGGAACCGCCTGAAAGCTTAACTTGGACTGGAACCATCTCTCCACGGACTCTCCGAGGCTTTCTGTACAATAGCATTCACATGGATTCAGAAGTCAACATGTGTGGTTTTTCCCCCAGGCATCCGGCGCCAGATTGCTCACTGTGTCAAGAAGGGCCATGGGATAGTGAAAGCTACCTTCTGTAATCCAGAAACACAGCCTGATGGGAGACAGAGGAAATGCTATGAAAAGGATTGTCCACCCAGGTAACCCTTGATAACAGAAAGCTGAACCTCCGTGTGTCACCTACTCAGACCACTAATTTAATGGTGCTCCAACGCTCCATGGTAATTGTAGTCTGGGTTGTTAAAGTAAATGTAGGAGAGGTGGAGAGCTGGGAGAGGTTTCTTTGGCTGTGCTGTCAGCCTGTGACAAGCTGTGAGGACATTTTTCTTTCCAGAGAATAATTCTTCTTACAATGTTGATGCACTGTGTGTTCTTATTTGCCAAGGCTCAATCTCACACTGTTGAAGATAATGTACACAGCATTTTACTACTGGGAAGCTGTTTAACTACCGGGTTTAGTTTTCCAAGGGCATGTCCCCATTGGATCTAGAACTTTCACATACTGGTACTCTGAACTAACCTTGTCCACTCTTAGTTCAGACTTCCCCAAAGGGACTTAGAATGCAGGCTGTTATCTAGGCTGGGGATGCAGTCAAGAGCTTCACCAGGACTTGGTCTCCCAGCTACCATCCACAGAATCCCTCCCATCCCAGAGGTTTTATAGTGGACTGGTATCTCTCTGTTTCTTGGATCTGAGAGAAGCATGCCAGAATGCAGTAAAGGATATTCTCTTCTACAATGCTTCTTAGGCTGAGCTTATAGATGGAACTTTATGATCCATAGCAAAAGTTAGAAATGGTCCAACAGCACAGTCTCCTCTCATGCAGTCAGTTGTGTATCCTTAGCATATAGAATGGAAAGATTGATGAGCTCACATGAGATCCAGTTGCTAGGCAACCACTGTGAAATCCCAGCCAGAGCAAATGTGGCATCCAGAGTCAGGTTTTCTTGGGAGCAGGTAATCTGTCTGTCTGCAGTGCTGTCTCTGCTGCTGGGGCAGCACATCTGGCACACCTGGGAGAGTAGTTATTCCCCAGTGTCTGCTCTGCTGTTGTGATGGGAACAAAATTTCCTCCAATTCCCTCTAAACAATTTGAAGATTGCACCTGAGGAAGAAGAGAAAAGCATAACCAATTGGGCAAATCCTTTAAGATCCTGCCATTGGATGGCATTTTTACTTCAATTTAAGCTGTGTTTCCCTTTGCTAGCATCTATTTCCTAAGGTGCTACTGGATTAGTCTTTCTTTTCATTTTTTGAGACTATTTCTATACATGGTTAATGCCAGTGGCCTAGCTTGCAGTTGCTAAAGATCAACAACATTAACAGGTCATATCTGAGATGGCTTGGTTCACACTCAAGATAATTACACAGCCTTCAAAAGAGGATGTTAATAAATCCAATTACATTTTCACTTCTGGCTCTGCAGTAAAAAAAAAATTCCCCTTATTTTATATCCAAGAATATGCGTGCAGGCATGCACACACACACATATATACACACAATATATTTAAAATCAATGATATGTGCACTTAGGCAATTACTTGACTTCAGCTAGTTGGTTTTATTAAAATTTATTTAAAAATTCTTGGTGTTGCTGTGCTATATATACACATAATACTTTTCTTATAGCTGTATTTGTTTATTTTGTTATAGAGACTAAAATCTTTAGCAAAGGTTATAAAGTCACATATGGATCAGGCATGGTGGTATATACTTGTAAACAATACCAAGACTCAAGAGAGAGAAGGAGGAAAAGAATGAGTCAAAAATGTGGTTTGGGATACATAGTAATACTTACCCCCTTAAAAAAGAAAGGAAAGAGAAGGAAGTAAGGGAGTGGAGGGAGAAAGGGAGGAAGGAAAGGGAGAGAGGGAGAGAGGAAGGGAGGGAAGCAAAGAGAGAAGGAGGGAGGGAAGGAGGAGGAAGGGAGACAGAAAGACAGTCAAAGAAAAGATATCAACAAAGTGAAAATTGATAAGCAAACAGGAAAGTCTGAGTCTAAGAACTATTTATTTCTTATTTTAGAAACTTGAATTCTAGGATCAAGGCATCAGCACTTGGTCTGGTGAGGCCCCTCTTGTTGCGTCTTCACACAATGGCTGAAAAGAGAGGTGAAATTTATCCCCACATAGTAGAAGAGGGAAGGAAAACAAGCCTACCTCCACAGACACAGTTTACAGTAGCATCCATATATATATAAGTTCTCTGTCTTCATGACCTAAACACTCCCATTAGGCCCCACCTCCCAACACTGGTGCATTGGAGATTTAGTTTCTAACGCATGAACTTTAGGCAACACATTTTAATCACAGCACAAGTGCATGATCACTCCATGAGGACTATGGAGGAAACTCCAGAAAGGGAAAACACGAAGGGCCATTATCACTCTGTTATAATATAACTGAAAGCCCTGTAGCAAGTAATTAGATAAATTAGGCTTTCAGTCAGCTTAGATTAGGGCCTTTCCAGAATGACATTTTATATATTCACCAATCTGCCTTGCCTCCCTTGGAAATGTCAGAGGTAGGGCAGAGTAATTAGATTAATACAGTGGGCATTAATTTGCTTTCACATCACACTGTCAAGTATTAGCTCTTTATTCATACAAGGCAACTAGAATTAAACACCAAAGAATAAATCCGTGATCTTAATTATGTGCTAAGTGAAGAAAATAACAGAATTGAGAAAGAACTTTCTTCTACAAATTTTAACTTGAGGTAAAATGTATGAAAACCAAAAAGAGTGCTACCCATTACAGAAATAAAGTGTAATGAATAAAAATAATAGAACAAAACTTTGTCACCTTCACAATCACCAAAACTGAATACTGTCTTAAGACCAGGCAGCATTCTCCAAGTCAAGGCTTCCCATAATGTGCTAGTTTCCTGTGAAAATAGAAATGCCCCGCCTTTATTACTGCATGGGAGCTTATAATGAAGAATTGTGTGTCCACAAGTCAATGGTGGACCCAAACTACACCGGGAGAAGAAGAGATTAGTTCTGTTTTCTGTGCTGGAGAAGGTTTGTGTAATGACAGAAAGGAAGAAATGAGAGAGTTCCAGTAGGGACCCCTAGCATTTTCCAAAACACTTCATTATAGCCATGGGGCCCATCCTGAAACATTCAATTAGTCACTCACAAACTTCCCCATTAGCTTGACCTCAGAGAATCCAAAATATTAATTTATCTGACTGTTCGACTTCTTAGGAACTGCTGAGATGGGAAGAAATTATCTTATTTAAGTTAGTTTTCTCCTTTATCAAGTAAGTGAAACTATGAACAAGCAGACTGCAGAAGATTTCGGGCAAAATGAAGGCAATGAGCTAGATTTAACATCACCCAAGTCATAAAAGAGATGTGCGTGTATCTGTCTCATGGTGGTATAGGAAAACATTCAACTAAGAGCCAGGAGACCTAGAGAACGGTTGGACACTATGGCTCCATACCTACAGTCAAAATACCAATTCATCATGAGCGATGGGTGGGCTCTGTGCTTGTTACTTTGCATGAATTGGTATTTCATTTCATCCACAGTACTGATGAAGTCATAATGCTGCCCTCACTAAACAGATGACAAAGTGAGGCTTGAAGTTGGTTGAAGTTGCACAGCAGAACCTTGGACCTCTATTTTCTTGATTTAAAATATGAGCCCATTTTTCCCATTATTCTTTTAAAGTAAAATTTAAATTTTATGTGCGTAAATGATTTTCTTGCTAGTATGTATTACAGCAGTTGTGTGCCTTGAGTCCTCGGAGGTCATCAGACTATGGGATTAGGGTCCTCAGGAACTGGAGTTACAGATCATTGTGAACTAGCATGTAGGTGCTGGCAATTGAACCCACGTCCTCTGAAAGAACATCACGTGCTCTAAAATACCTAGCCATCCTTCCAGTCCTCCAAATATTAATTTTTTTAAGCAAATGCATATGCCAGGTTCTCTGATGGGCTCTGAGGTTTATAATTCAATGAGTCACACCTACCCTGTCTTCAGATTTTGCATTATCTCCAGGAACCTCCCAGCTTTGTAATGTATGCTTGCCTACTTTCTCTCCCAGTGGTTGAAAGAACATACATCTGTAGTGGCATCTTGCCTTGCCAGTGAACTTGCAGCAGTGGCCACACCCTCTGGGCATGGTTTCAGGTGTAGATGTGACCCATTCATAAGGTAGAGGTGAGGGCTCCAGCTCTCTTGGGTCGCAGAGAGCAGTGTGGCCACTGCTACAAGTTCACTGGCAAGGCAAGATGCCACTACATAATCTACTTTTGGTGATCTCATGTGTCCATGTCTGACTGCAGGTGGTGGGCAGGGGAATGGGAAGCGTGTTCAATGACGTGCGGGCCCTACGGAGAAAAAAAGAGAACCGTGCTGTGCATCCAGACCATGGGCTCTGATGAGCAGGCTCTCCCAGCTACAGATTGCCAGCATCTGCTGAAGCCCAAGTCACTGGTTTCCTGTAACAGAGATATTCTGTGTCCATCAGACTGGACAGTAGGCAACTGGAGTGAGGTAAGCTCAGAGATTGAAGGGACAGTGATATTATCCCTGTTTCATCAGCCTCTTATTCATTCTTCCAAAATGACCTAGCATAAAATTACCTACCACACAACACCCATCCAGTCTGGCTTGCCTCCTGCATTTCCTGTGTCCAGCCTTCCAGGATCCTATCCTCCCTTGCAAAGTAGGCAGCTATCTACCAGGGATCAGGTGGGCCTTACTAACACAGGCTCATGACAGCTTAATCAATGCATTACTGGGATATCCGCTGACCCGTTGTTCAGCTATTGTAGCAAACCAAAGCCACACACATATACTACAGCACCTAAAGCCAGGCTGTAAAACACTTGGCAGTTCACTGTCTTAAACTGAACCCAAAGGAGTGTTACTCTGGTGGCAAAATGAGAAATGCATTTGATTCAGAAACTTCAAATCATTCATCTACTCAGTATGCATTTGGGACAACTGTCAGTAGTTCATAAAAAACAAATTAGGACTGCATTTTCCACAAATTAACTTCATCTAATTCTATGGGTATAATTAGAAATCAGAGGGCTTAAAGGTTATGTGTCACCGTGGAGTGTGGGTCCCTCAGGCCTTGCTGTGCAGCAGGGTGACCCGGGAAAGGCCAGCTCTTCTTTTGTCAAGATACCAGGTGTCTCCAAAGGCCTTATTTCTGTTTCCCTGTGTGCATTTCTGTTATGACCCAAGGAGCAGCCAGACGATAAAAGACCTTTAGAAATGAACACATTAGAATTTTAAGGACAATACTGACTTCATTGTGTGTTCTTTAAAAAAAAAACACTTTTTGCACTTATTTATTGTGTATGTATACACATGTGCTGTGACACACTTATGGAGGACATAGAGCAACTGTGAGTGGCATCAGTTCTATCTTTCCACCATGTAGGTCCCAGGGATCAGATTCAGGTCATCAGGTTTGGTAGCATGACATCCCACTGGCCGCTGTGCAATTTCTTGAGATACTGAAAGCTTCCTATAGCAATGGCCAGAAATCATTAGCAGCTTTCCTGAGGACTTATCATCAGGGAAGTAGAAAATATTTGGTGCAGGAGAACATTATGGACAAATAAATAGAATAAACATTGATGGATAAGTAAGCAATGTACTCAACTGAGATAAAACACTTGTGTTAAAAAGTGTTTTATTATGAATAAAGGTTTCTTGTGTAGTGTACAAAGATGCTCTGAAAACATTATCTAATGAAGTCTAAATTTTGCATCAATAAAATTATCCTTTCTGAAGATACTTACTTAAAAGCAGGGTACTAGTGTGAACTGAGCATCTTTGATAACCTTCCCAAGATACTTGTGATCATGCAACTTCTAGTTCTGTGCAGGCTGTTCCAGTGGATATGTGGGCTAAAGTGAAGAAGTAGAATTTGTGGTCCCTAGACTATGAAAACTTTTTATCAAATGGGAGACGAGGGATAAAAAGTTGGGGAAGTAGTGGGGAGATGGGCAGTAGAGGAAGGCCATGAAGGTGCATTTACCGATAACATGTCTAGGAGTTAATACAAGCACATTATGGATTTGTATACTGATCCATCTGCAAACTTCAATGGCAAGTCAGAATGTCCCCCCTGCTATTCTTGGGAAGGCGCAACCATAGCATGTATTTGGCCTGACCTGTTCACCACCAACCTAGACTGCTGTAAATTATAGTGTTGTCAAAATGAAGCTGAATGAGGTATTGTGATGAACCCATTAAATTTGTTTACCAAAAAATGGGTTGGCTGCATCCAAAACACTTAATAATTCTTGTCATGTAGAATTTACTAATTGCCGGAAACCCAGGGCTTTCTCAAAAGGCTGTAATTACAGATTTGGCTGAGGATACCTTTCTGCGCCCATGTGTGCAGCACACAATAACCTGCCTTAGACCAAAGGAGTTGGCATGAGGTGACAAGTACTAGTGTCTGTGGTTCCCCAAGCAGGCTATTGTGTAGCTGATTGACAGGAGACATGGAATCCAGATTCTTGCTGCCTCTTGCAGTGCTGAGCAGGAGTCAAGCTGGCACCTTCATTAGGAGATGTAGGCAAAGTGCCTGTAGGTAAAACAGCACCAGTAGACTCATTGGATAGGTTTTCTTTCCCCCTCCTGTTGTTGTTCTTATCCGTCAATGAGCTTTGCTGAAATAGATTTAAAAAATAAATGTCTTTGACATTCTAATGATGCCAAGATACCTTTGTGTAGTTTTATATGTGTAAGTATTTTTATTAAAACTTTACTTATTTATTTTATCTAGATTTCTTTCTTACTAAAAATAGAATCTTCCCCATCCAATATACTCTGATCACAGTTTCTTCTTCCTCAGTTCCCCCCACATCCTTCTCACCTCCCCTCCCACCCAAATCTATACCCTTTCTCCTTCAAAAAATGAAAACTAACAGGCATCTAAAAATAAAGTAAAACAAAAACAAGCCAGAATGGGACACAACAAATGAAAACATACATGTTGATCATATTCCCCTTCCCCAATTCCCAGATCCTCTCCACTTCCCAACCCTACCAATTTCATGTGCTTGCTGTCTTTCTCTTCCCCCAAATAATCATAAAACAAAAAACAAGGCTCAGAACAAACAAACAAAAGCCAATAAGGCAAAAAAAAAATACCAGAACAAAACAAACAGCACACACAGAAAACTGTGGAGTTTGCTTTGTGTTGGCCAACTGCTCCTGGGCATGGTGCCTTCCCTGGAGTGTGGTTGACATACCCAGTGACACCCATTGAGGAAAACTGATTTTCCCTTTCCCAGCAGGATCAATTACAAACAACATCTTGGGTAGATGTGAGACTTTGTGTCTACTTTCTCTTCTCAGTTCTGAGATTTTTGTCTGGCAGGAACCTGTGCAGGTCTTGTGCATTCATCCAGTCTCTGTGAGTTTCCACAGGCATCAGTCCTGTTATGGATGGAAGATACTGTCTTGTTGTAGTTATCCGCCACCTCTGGCTCTCTCTACCTCCTCTTGGGCATACATCCTTGAGCTTTTAGAGGAAGGATTTGACAAATACATCCCATTTAGGGCTGAGTGCTCTAACCCTGCACATTGCCCAGCTGTGTATCTCTGTGTTAATTACCATCTACTGCAGGAAGCAGCTTCCCTGATGAGGGCTGGATGATGCACTGAACTAGGGTATAGCAATATGTCTATCTATTTAAAACATCTTATATGTGGCATATTTTGATAATATTCTTTCCCACTCCCCATAAAAGGGATGCTAAGCATGATTCTTGGCATACAGTATTTGTCATCAGAACTTCACCTTCATGCCTACATTGTTTGAAGTGCTCTAGATTTACCTTGGTCTGCACTGAGCTTTTTGCATTTGCTTAAGTATGAGGTAACTTGGCCAAAAGACCCCAACACTGAGAACTCCTAGGATTCTGTTGAGTGGTTCTCCCTGCAGCTCTCAAGATGGAAAGGAGAAAAGCAAAGTTCATGAGACACCCAAACAAGGTTCCTCCGTTAACCTGTTATAAAGAGAAAGTAGGTTCTGCTGTGGCAGGCCAGCACACTCAACTCTGAGAAACAGTGATGGTCTGCAGGGGATTCTCCTCTCTCTCACCCTAGGAAACACTTGTTTCCTGTTCTCTTCAGCTGCTGTTTCCCATCCAACCCAACCTAAATTCATTCTGGACAACCACCTTAATCTCAAGCTTCTCCAAGGACCTTGTCCTGTTTTGCTCAGCCTAGTTTTTAGCATGAAGAATGGCAAGTCTATTTATTGTAAAGAAAGGCAAAGTATCCAAGTCTCTGTGGCTCCCACCATTTTCTTCAAGTACTACATACACTTCAGTGGCTTGCCACATGAGAGGCATTCGGTCTAGTAATGGGTTTGTGGTTACTAAATCATGGCTTCCTTGCTTAACATCTTGTCTCTACCATGTGTCAGGTTTAATCTCATCGTCTTTGCTATGTTCTTCCTACCCATAGCATAGCAATGACTGGGGCTTTTATCATTTCTCTAAGTATAGATAGATTCATATTTCCAAGTTATTGCTATCACAGGACCTATCAAAAGTGCTACAGATATAAACACTAGCATTTGCTCAGAAGGCAGAAGGATGGACACACCAATAATGCCACCTATCATTTGTCAAATGCTTTCCCTGACTATGTAGGCTACTTTGTTTAACCCTTAAAATAACTCTAAAAGTTGATAACAGTTCATTAACTTCTGTTTTGTAACTTGAAAACTCAAAACATAAGCCTTTAAGTTTGCTTCTTACACAGTAGTTCAATAAATGATGAGTTGAGGTTCATACACATCTCTCATTTGACAATAATACGAGAGTAAAGCTTTATTTTGGTCAATACTAGGTTCACTTTTAAACCACTTTCCTGTGTGTTTGGTGCATATACTGCTTAAGTAAGGGGTCCCCTGCATATTTATTCATGTTTTTCACATGGGCTGATGGATGTTTTAGCTGCCCTTTGATTTGGTTTAATGTTAATGTGCATACAGCAAACATGGCATTTATTTAAGCCACACGTAGGTGTGTTTCTAAAGAGCTTCTCTCTTTAGGAGAATTTTAGGTTATTTACAGTAAGCGGCTCTATACATTGTAGTGTGAAATGAAAATTATGGTCATAACTAGGGACAGAGACCATGATCTAAGCATGAAACCCATATGGTTACTATTTTGCAATTTGCAGTGTAGCCCCAAGCAAATGGCAACTAAAACAACATAGTAGGTGCCACATTCTTTCTAGGTGATGGACAAAGCAAGATTCTGCAAGATTGTAAATAATTACCAAAGTTATATGTGAGTTTTTATCTGTTTTGCTGTGAAGCAATCCCTCTCCTGCTAAGCAAACATCTCAAAAACTTTAAAATTTATTTTGAAATTAACTCTTGCTAGGTTAGCCATGCTAGATTCTGACTTTTGACCTTCTTGCACCACCTTCTTGAGTATCTGGGAATACAGGTGTGCCTCACCACACTCATCTTATTTCAGCATTTTAGTCGTGGATCCAAGATCTAG